TTTTGTAATGGCATTCTCATGTAATTTTTTACAAAAAAGAAGGTTAGTAAGGGGTTTCTAATAAATTGTACTCCCCAAATAATAGTATAGGATTATATATTCATGTAATATCAAGGTGTGAAAACCCTATGTACATAGATATGTAAAGAATTCTCAACCATTATTCTTAAACCAAAAATCTCTATCAAAACCGGTCCAACACCAGAACAGCTTGATGATCTAAATAGACAAATCAGTTTCTTTAAAATTATTAATATGCACCACTCTGTAATTAGAAGGAGAATAAGAAAAAAGGAGAAAACGAAGGTAGCTTGTCGGTGTCACGTGGGGAAGAACAGGTGAAAACAAACGAACAATAATTTGGAAAAACAAAAATGAGAGTTTAACCAAAAAAAAAATGTGAATCATGTGATGGATCGAATTAGGTATATTCTTTGTAGCTCTTTAGTATTCACAGCCTCAGCTTTGCTCTTATCCAAACGAGTGGCCCGCATAACAGAGACATTACACAATACGAATGCGTTTCTAAATTACTGCTCCATACTCAAATCGAATCCTTGAGATTCTTAAAAAATCTGTGATATTCAATTATTAGATTACTAAAAGCCAAAATTCTTAAAAGTCTAGACGATTTGATTATTATATTACCAAAAGATCGGCCTTTTAATCCATGTTAAACTGATTAACTTGAAATATATAGTTTTGTTTATTGGGGAGGAAGGAAAACAAATAATCCTTTTCGACACTGAATAGTTTCTTCGAATGAAAGTTGATAAAATAATGTATAAGTTCATTTAGATAAATTTCTTACAACGTAATTCTTTTTTTTTTCTTTTTGGTAATGTTAGTAGTTAATTTTTGTTGGTAAGCTGATAAAATATCTTGTTCTGATGTAGAAATGTTATACCCATACACACAGAGATATAGCGAAAATTTAGTTTGTGGAAAGAAAAACTAACTAACAAAATAACACCTTCAATTCGACAAAAAAGCATAAGTTTAATAAAATATCTAGAGAAAAAATTTGACGATGATACCACTATCATTCGCCAAAACCACAATAATTCAATTATTCTAAATGTAGATTCTATTAAATGTGTCGATTGTCATTATTTCAAATATTTTAATTTTCAAATTATAAATTCATAACTCGAAATATACAAAAGATTGCTGATTTTGGATTCAAACTTTCAAAGAGAACTTGTAGTCATGCATATACATAAAACGGTAAATCAATTTTCTTATTTTTTTAGGATAACGAAAAACGGTAAATCATGTTATTGATAAAAGTTGATTTTGAAGATCATATTTAACACTGGCACAATGTAGGTCTATTAGTTCATTTTGAAGTTAAACATATTACTACAACAATAAGTTGATGGGTGAAGTGCATCCACTAAACTATATATATTTAAAATTTTACATAAGGATTTAAAACTAAATTACTCTAATGGTTTGATGTACCCTATTTAACTAATATTCTAGGTCCGCCGATCGAAGCTGTCACCTTGAACAATTATTGGGACAATTCAGGCCCCTAGACCATTTTAGTTTTAAGTCCTTGTATAAAATTTCAAATATATATAGTTTACTTGGTACACTTGCCACCACCCCACCAACGTGAGTCTACCCCTGATTCGACTTTTTATCAAGGTGAAATAACTGATTTTCTCGTTCTAGATGGATGCGTTTAGAATCTTCAGTGTCTTTTACCCGTTGTTTTTCGATCCGATAATATGGTGAGAATGAATGATTTATCGATCAAACTACTCTGCATATTAATCATTGTACTCATTAATGTAATGTCCTAATCGTCTATATATATATATATATATATATATGTGGGTTCATATGTCTCTCTTCATCCCACTTGAGCATGTGAACTTATATTTGTCTATCGACTGGTTCACTATTCTATAAAGTTCATCAGAGTTGTCGATCAGTAGTGATCACTACACATTCTTCATACAACTGAGTTAGGAATGTTATACTCTCTGTGAGACAAATCATTTACAAATAGTAAATGTAAACACAGCATTAATTACGTTTCTTGTTGGCATTCACAATTGCAAAATCATTTTCTCATTTATTTTTGTCAAGAACCCTTATCTATAAAATATGAATTCATAGAACAAAAAAAGGCATTAATGGCTTGCAGATGCAGAAAGATGGAGCGAACAAAAAGAAATTAAAGATTGGAGTATATAAAGCGTCTACGTGACCTTTAATTAAATTCACTTCCCAAAAAAAAAAGAGAGTCAAATTCAACATTTGTAAATAAAAATCAAGATTGGTTTTCTAAGTACATTAAATTATTTACTTTGGTAAATACATACGCACTCTTTAATTTTCTCAACGGTGTATATAAACGAAAGAGGTCTCCTGTGCCTATCATTTTGCCAACGAACGTTCTTTCTGCATCACAGCTCAGCCTGACGCAAACCGCTCAGGCTGATCTCTTCCATTTTACAGCCATTTCCCAGCTCAGATCTCTGATCCGGTGAGATCTCTTGAAATTTTGGTTACTTCTCTGTTTGTGATGCATGTCCTTCAATTTTCACCGATTGTGATTTGAATCTCAGCATGTGTATTCGAATCTTCGATTTTTCGGTGCTTGATTTGATGACATAATGTCCACGCCATTATTGGTTAATCTTGAAATGATGAATTTTTGTCCGATCTGGGTTTAAAGCTGGAATTTTGATTGTGGGTACTATTAGAATCATTGATTTCTTGCTTGGTCCAACATTTTTAGCTGCTGGAATTGAGCTGTTGTTGTCTGAATTTTGGCAAGAACTATTTTTGTTGTTTTGATTTATTGTGTTTTGGATCTGAATTCATTGACCTTTCTCTGTGGTTACATTCACTTTGATTAGATCTGAATGTATCCTTTTTATGTGCTTAAGTTTTTCTGTTTCTAGCATGTTTTGTCACCAATTTTGCCATTTTGTAATCGTTTATTTCATTTTCTTTACTGAATTCCCCAACGTTATGGATTCTACAATGTGATTCAGAGTTGATAGTTTTCACTGCCTGTGAATCTCTCCATAGATTTCTGTATCTCTATTGAGCTCATAATATAATTTCTTTTCATAAGTTAGACATTGTTAAGATCTGACGTTTGTAATTGCAGGGAAAGGAGTTAGAGCATCAAGATGAAGGCACTCATTCTTGTTGGAGGTTTCGGCACTCGGTTGAGGCCATTGACTCTCAGTTTCCCAAAGCCCCTTGTTGATTTTGCAAATAAACCCATGATCCTTCATCAGGTACTTTATCAACTATCTTCTTCCCAAGAATACTATGACTGAAGCTAATCTTTTTTTTCTTTCTCTGTTGGTATTTGCTATCGTTCGTGATCTATGTTGTAACCGAGGCATGTATTCTTGTAGATAGAGGCTCTTAAGGCAGTTGGAGTTGATGAAGTGGTTTTGGCCATCAATTACCAGCCAGAGGTGAGATACTATCTCCTAACTTTTCTTTGCAGCTATTTTCTGTTTACATGTTTGTATTTACCATTTGCTCTGTTTCGACAGGTGATGCTGAACTTCTTGAAGGACTTTGAGACCAAGCTCGAAATCAAAATCACTTGCTCACAAGAGACCGAGCCACTAGGTACGGCTGGTCCTCTGGCTCTAGCGAGAGACAAATTGGTTGATGGATCTGGAGAGCCCTTCTTTGTTCTTAACAGTGATGTGATTAGTGAGTACCCACTTAAAGAAATGCTTGAGTTTCACAAAACTCACGGCGGGGAAGCCTCCATAATGGTGACAAAGGTGAGACTAACGAACCTAATACTCTCCAGTTACGAGATAAGTATGTTATTCACCTAATATGGATTTGCATGTTTTGGTTATAGGTGGATGAACCGTCTAAATATGGAGTGGTTGTTATGGAAGAAAGTACAGGAAAAGTGGAGAAGTTTGTGGAAAAGCCAAAACTGTATGTAGGCAACAAGATCAACGCTGGGATTTATCTTCTGAACCCATCTGTTCTTGACAAGATTGAGCTAAGACCGACTTCGATCGAAAAAGAGACCTTCCCTAAGATTGCAGCAGCGCAAGGGCTCTATGCTATGGTGCTACCAGGATTTTGGATGGACATTGGGCAACCCCGTGACTACATAACGGGTTTGAGACTCTACTTAGACTCCCTTAGAAAGAAATCTCCTGCCAAACTAACCAGTGGTCCACACATTGTTGGGAATGTTCTTGTTGATGAAACCGCTACGATTGGGGAAGGATGTTTGATTGGACCAGACGTTGCCATTGGTCCAGGATGCATTGTTGAGTCAGGAGTCAGGCTCTCGAGATGCACGGTCATGCGTGGAGTCCGCATCAAGAAGCATGCGTGTATCTCGAGCAGTATCATCGGGTGGCACTCAACGGTTGGGCAATGGGCCAGGATTGAGAACATGACGATCCTTGGAGAAGATGTCCATGTGAGCGATGAGATCTATAGCAATGGAGGAGTTGTTTTACCACACAAGGAGATCAAATCAAACATCTTGAAGCCAGAGATAGTGATGTGAAAAATGTGATATTATATGTGCAACTTTTTTTTTTTTTTTTTGTGTCCTTTCTTCAACTTTAAATCGCTTTCGTTATTCTTGTTGGCTTTTGAATAAGCAAGCATCAATCAAAACGCTGTATATCTTGTTAGAGTCATTTGGTGTTTTGTCTCTTTTTGTATTTGTAATTTATTAAAACTATTCTCAGTTTATGTGAGATACTTTTGAATATTCATTAATTATAAAGCTTTTTCTGAACATTCAAAATTCAATAGTACATTATACAAACTTGAAAATAGCATGAGGCAGATAAAAAAAAACATGACCATTGAAAATCCTAGAAGGTCTTTAGAAATTACAAGCAACAATTCTGTTTTTCAAAGATCCATTGGGTTTATCCAAATCCAAAGGTATGTATAGAGGAATATTCGTTTGACGAGTAAAAAGACTAAAATACCCTTGCGTTCCCTCCACATAATGTACAGAGACCCGATCTGAATCGGAGCTAAAAAAACGGTTTCAATCCAATTAGAGTCAATGGCGTCGCGTATATGTCTTCTCCTTCTCGTTGTGTTTCTCGCCGGAGCATTTGCCGGAGACGTCATCGAAGTCAATAAATCTCAGAGGGAGTTCGATTATTTCGCTCTCTCTCTTCAATGGCCCGGAACCTATTGCCGTGGAACTCGCCATTGTTGCTCCAAAAACGCTTGCTGCAGAGGGTAAATTTCTCTTCTTTTATCTCGATCTTCAATCTCAGATTGAAATTGTTATCGATGCTCATGTCTCGGGTAGCTAAGGATCTGAATTCATTAGATGTTGGAACAGATCAGAGATTATTTGAGAAAGATTTGGCCTTAGACTAACTTACGTTGTTTATTTTTCCTTCTCCAGCTCCGATGCTCCAACGCAATTCACAATTCGTAAGTAAACTCTTTGAATCTTAGTTTCAGTTTCAGGAATCAATGTTTGTGTGTGTTTGAGTTTGAAACTATGCAACCTAATTATCTTTAAATCTAATCTTGTAGATGGGTTATGGCCTGACTATAACGATGGTTCATGGCCTTCGTGTTGTTATCGATCTGACTTTAACGAGAAGGAGGTAAAACATTCTTAATTTGGCCTGGGAGTATTCAAAAAGTTTAAGTAGATTTGATAGATGGTAATACAAGTCATGTCTTTATATCTTATGAGAAGATTCTGAAAGGAGAATAAATTTGCAGATTTCAACGTTGATGGATGGCCTTGAGAAGTACTGGCCTAGTCTCAGTTGTGGTTCCCCATCATCATGCAATGGTGGGAAAGGGTCATTTTGGGGTCATGAGGTGATTATATTTTCACATCTATTGCAAACTTTTCACGGATAGGTGTTCCCATCTCCCAGTCTTCACCAAAACTAACTGAGTTTCATTTGTTGGTTGTCATGTATCTCTTTGCAATACACGCTGGCAGTGGGGTAATTATATTCAATCTTTACTTCTTTAGCTTGATTTTTCTTTCGATTTCCTTCCAAATGATTTTATATAGAGTTTGATTCATTGGTGTTATTGTAGAGCTTAATCTCAGAACCTTTTGCAGTTTGTTAGTTAGCACAATACGTTCTGGTTTGATTATGCTAATTCGATAACATAGATTCTCTCTCTAACGATTGTGCTGATAATTTCTTATTTTCAGAGAAACATGGGACTTGTTCTTCTCCTGTTTTTCATGATGAGTATAATTACTTCCTTACCACACTTAATATCTACTTGAAGCATAATGTCACGGTAAGTCTTCACTGATTTTGAGTTTATGTTATGATATAATGCATAGTGGGTTGGTTAAATAAGAGAAATTGGGCATACACAATATTTACATGTGTTAACTATTTTCTTGCATTCTTGTGAAATGTAGTTTTTCTTTACGATGTAAATGATCATGCATCTTATATTTCTTCTGATCTATCAGTTTATAGGTTTGTGAAGACACTTTTGTACATTTTTTTCTCTCTGTTGGATAAGTTATTAATGCCAGTTTACAATCTCTGCATCTGTAAATCTTGGAATAGGATGTCCTTTATCAAGCTGGCTATGTTGCTTCCAACAGCGAAAAGTATCCTCTAGGAGGTATCGTAACAGCGATTCAGAATGCATTTCATATCACCCCTGAAGTGGTATGCAAAAAAGATGCAATCGATGAAATACGTATATGCTTCTATAAAGATTTTAAGGTCTGTATTCGATATCTCTTTCATTCTTATAGATTGTTGATTTCCTTTTAAAGTTTTAAATTGCTCTCCCATGATAAGAAAACTCAAATAACATGTCCCCAACCCCAGGCATTATGAAATGTCAGACAACGTCGTAAAGCTGTGTGTAGAAATTGCTTGGTTTGGCAAGATTTGCTAATCATTGACATTATTTATTGCTTTTCCTTGTTTAAAGTTAAAGCATTTTGCTAGACTCTGAGAATGGCACCAGTTTCTGACAGTCTTTTATATTTTATGACTACAGCCTAGGGACTGTGTTGGTTCAAAAGAATTAATGTCGAGAAAATCATGTCCCCAGTACGTAAGTTTGCCGGAATACACACCATTGGGTAAGTAAAAAATCATAGAACGTTTTTTCATATCTTGAAGGAGTCATAATTGCAAGAGCATTAGATAAGTATTGGATATATGATAAAAATGATAAGAACTAATGTGATGACATAAATATTTGTGTGTTATGCAGATGGTGAAGCTATGGTTCTGAAGATGCCAACAGAAAGAGAAGCTCTTTGAATTGGAATTTGGAATAGATGGGAGCTTTGTTATCTTCTTAGAGGCAATACATACATGTCTCTGATGTTGTAATTTCACTACCAAAACCTATAAAGATTGGCTTATTTCGTTCTATTGGATATGAATCATCATTACTGTAATTCAAGTTTCTTTCTAATAATGTAAAAGATCAGAAGATCCGTAAGAAGATTCAAATTATATCAACATCTGAGTTCTGTGATAAGTCGAATTATATCAACTTAGTTTGGTACTTATTATAGTGACTACTTAATTTGGTACATAACTTACGAGTTACAATGATTCATTCTTGACTGATGCAATGATTGCTTATCAAACAGTTTACAAAATTCAGTTAAATATTTATGCTTAATTGCTTACGTATAACGATGTATCTGATCAACAAGAATTAGATATAGATATGTATATACAACGAATAGATGGGATAGAATCAAAAATAACTCATATCAAATCAACCACAACTTATCATAAATCTTAATAAATAATCCCCCAAAAAAATTTAAAAATGAATTAAGAAAGAAAAAGTGATGACAAAGTTAATTTTCATATTACTACAACCGTATGAATTAGTTCCAAAGACAATTCTAGAGTTCCTCTATCCACGATACATCGATCACTGTTAAAATCGACGAGACGGGCTGCACCAGAGAACTTGTCATCCGTCGGCAATCGAATCTTAGCCCGACCTATGGCAACATCTCCATCTGATGTTGCAGGATCTCTACAAGAGTATTTTCTAAACAATTCTAGGTAAAGATATTTTGCAGGAAAATCTAAAGGAATCACCAATTCTGTATTATACTTCCAATAGTTGCCTTTGGAAACCCATACCTGTGTTGTGTATGGATCTCCGGGGTCTGTCCATGCAATAACTTTATAGTAGTTAGGATGTTGCAAAAGATTTTTGTCATCGATTGTGCATGCACGTAATATTTTCACGATTAACTTTGTTTCTACGTGATGATCAATCTTTCTCTTCCCTTCACGAATCAGTCTCCTTTTTTGTAAGTTTGTCATTGAGACTCTGGCGGTTAGGCCTTGGAAATTTATTTTTAATATATATTTCTTGGGGAAAAAGAAAAGAAGAGTTGTTTTCTTTATCCTTTTCTTTTCTGAGAATATTATACAAATTGCGTTTGAGATGAACAAGCTAAACCAAACGTAGTTCCATAATCCAAACAGTTTCAATTATTCTAAAAAGATTCTGATAAGCTTAAGAGTAAAAATAATACATCGAATCGGGAAAAAACATACATATAAAAATTCAACTAGATAAAAAGAAGAAAACAAAGTGATAAGGATCGAGTAGGAAATAACTAAAAGAAACGTATTTTTTTACTCTTGAGCTTATCAACTAGATAAAAAAAGATCGAACTTATTACTTTTGAATTATTTCTAAAAAAAAAAAAAAAAAAATTATTTCTACACGGAAGTTCGTAAAAGAACCCTAGCTAAAAGCTAAAACCCTAATTTTTCTTCAAAGAGGATCAATCACACGTTTGCTTTAGTGCGCTATGGCTTTAGCTTGGTGCGTACGCAGGTCAGCATCTAAGTTGGTCAAGCCCGGTGTATCTCCGCCGTTGTGAACCGTCCGTCTCTTGCTCTCAACCCGTCTCCGCTTCGTCCCTTCGTCTCACGTCGCTTTTATTACTCTGAGCGTAGGTTTCTCGGCGTGATTGACTCCAAGATCCTTTCTGCTTTGAAATCCGATGATCTCCACTATGTAAGTCTCTCGCATCTTGCTCCTCTAGAAACATAAATTGGTTTGCTTTGTTCTTGATGAATTCAAGAAGAGAATCGATATTTGGGCGTTGCGCTGATTATATAGTTCCATACTTATAATACATAATTCGTATATATATTTAGAGAAGATGTGTGTCTCTCTGTTAAGACAATATTTTTTTGTTTCTTATACTATATTGGGAGCAGATTAAAGAGACGATTCCAGAGAGATTCCCTTTCAATATTGAAGATGATCCTCGAGCTCAGTTTGTGAGATTCACTCGTGAAAACGTTAGGGAACATGTTCAAGTTTTAGCTTTCATGCCTAGTCTTGTTGCTGATGAACCAAGTATTAAACTAACTGTAACTGTAACCAAGAACAACGGACTCTGCCTAGAGTTTAGCTGCACGGCTTTTGCTGATTCTATTAACATAGATATTGTATCAGTGAATCATCCGGGTGGTTTTTTTGAGGGTACACTGAAGAATGATTGGCATTTCAATTTCAAGTAAGCTTTGTGAAAATCAAAAACTCTGTATAATAACTGCAAGTGTAAAACCAGAAAGGTTATAATGTTGGTTTTGTTCTCATCGCCTTTTGCAGAGACATGGACAATGATCTGAAGAAGATTTTCTACGAGTATCTGGAGACCGTAGTTGAAGCAAGCACAACGAATTTCTTGCATAAGTACATGATGAGCAAACTGAAGCGAGAGTACTAGGTATGGTTGAAAGGTGTTAAGAAGTTTATGAAAGAACCTCTGTGGTATTAGGTTCGATACCTAAGAGAATCAGAAATATATAAATGAACGAACTCTCTTATGTTCGTTGTTAGCATTCAAATGTGTTTTCGCATTTTGCACAATCTTTTGAGAATTTAATTATGGTAATGGCTTTCAAGTTTAGATGCGAGTTTTGATATTCACTTCTGATTCCCAATGCCAGTCCAAACTCAAATCCAAAGATCAAACACTAGAAATGTATTGGTTGCTTACAACGACAAGAAGAGAAGCTAATAAATATTCATCTTACTAGACTAATTTTGGTAAATGGATCTTATTTTTGGTGCAAAAGAAAGATGATGAGGGCGAGTATAAATTTTTCTTGATTTTTTTTACCCGCATATGGTTAGTACACAAATTCACTCAAAAAAAGAAAGATTTACCTTACTTAATATGTAACAGTAAGTCACATTATTTGTTAGTTAAAACTGAAAGTTTTGTAAAAAAACCTAAAACCCTATAACCCTTAAACCCTTGATTCTCAGTTTTCTTCGCAGAACCAGAGAATATCAATCCATGGCTTTTGCTTGGGGCGTGCGGAAGTCAGCAACTAAGCTCGCTTCCGTATGTGGTCGAGTCCGGTCTATCTCGGCGGTTGTGAACCGTCCGTCTCTAGCTCTGAACCCGTCTCCGCTGAGTCATTTAGTCTCTCGTGGCTTTCTTTACACGATGGCTGTTGATCAGCTGACCTCTGAGCAAACCCTTCTCCTTGTGATTGAATCCGAGCTCAATTCTGCTTTGCAAACCGATGATCGCAATTTAGTAAAACTTTCACATCTTTGCTCAATTTTCATTCCCGAAAAAACATAAACTAGTTTCCTGGTAATATTCTTATGAGATTGTTTTTTTTTGTTCTGACATTCTTTTGGATTTGGTTGAGAGCAGGAGGAAGAGATGGATCTAGGAAGCTTCCCTTTTAGAATTGAAGACGATCCTGGAGATCAGAGTGTAACAATGACTAGAGACTACAATGAGGAACATATTGAAGTTTCATTAGGCATGCCTTATCTTGGTGCTGATGTCATTGATGCGTTTGGTACTCGTAAGGATGAACTAAGTTTTCCACTAGTTGTGACTGTTACCAAGAAGAGCGGACTCAGCCTAGAGTTTACCTGCGAGGCTTATGCTGATTATATTGACTTAACAGATTTAACTGTGAATTATCCGGAGGATTCTTTGGAGTATCTAATGGAAACTGACTGGCCTCGTTTCAAGTAAGCTTAGTGAATCATAAAAATTCTATATAATAATTGCAAGTGTAAGATTGTTTTGAGATGGGAAAGAAAGAGGTTATGATGTTTTTTTGTGTGTGTTTTTCATCGCCTCTTTTTTGTAGAAACTTGGACGATAATCTGAAGAAGGCGTTCCAAAGGTATCTAGCGACCAGAGTTGAAACAAGCACAGTGAAACTCTTGCATAAGTACATGATGAGCAAAATAAAGAGAGAGTACTTAGTATGGTTGAAGAATGTTAAGAAGTTTGTGCATGAATGAAAGGTAAGTTTATATTGTAAAAATGAAGTCTCTTCTTGTGTTGGTAGTTAGCATTCAAATGTGTTTAGCATTTTGCATAAGGTTTTGAGAATATATATATGGTAATACATGACTTTCAAGTTCTTATTTGAGTTTGATATTCACTTATGATTCCCAATTAATGCCAATCCAAAGATATAGATAAAAAGAAAAGAAAGTGATAAGGAGTAGGATCATGATATATCAGAAAGGTGTAGCTAAAATGTTCTTCATTACCTTACCAATAACAATCAGCCACATTATTATCATTTCATTAATTAATTTCAATATTTCTTTATTGTCATCTAAATAATTAATAGGATAATATTGATATATTTTTTTAACTATACCGTCAGATTTTGTGATAGAATTTGTTAGTTACTTTTAAAAACCCTAAAACCTTTAAACCCTTGAATCTCAGTTTACTTCACAGAACCAGATAATATCAATCCATGGCTTTTGCTTGTTGCGTACGCAAGTCAGCAACTAAGCTCGCTTCCGTATGTGGTCGAGTCCGGTCTATCTCCGCGGTTATGAACCATCCGTCTCTAGATTTCAACCCCTCTCCGATGAGTCCTTTCGTCTCTCGTGGCTTTTTTAACTCGATGGCTGTTGATAAGCTGAGCCCTGAGCAAAGCCTTCACCTTGTGATTGACTCCGAGCTCAATTCTGCTTTGCAAACCGATGATCCCAATTTAGTAAAACTTTCACATCTTTGCTCAAATTTCATTCTTTTTTTTTTTTTTTTTTTTTTTTTGATAAGAATGTAAATATCATTTCTGTGGTTTTACATGATACAAATCCTAAAAACATGGTCCCATGCCAAAAAAGAGAAAAAACGTGGAAACATATACAATCGATTTTGGTTAAATTTCATTCTTAAACAAAATATAAGTTAGTCGTCTGAGACGAAATCATCGTTTAGCTTTACATTGCGAATAAGTTTGCTGATAATATTCTTAAGAGATTGTTTTTTTTTTTTGCTTTTTCTGACATTCTATTGGGGTTTGGTTAGGAGCAGAATGAAGAGATGGCTCCAGGAAGCTTCCCTTTTAAAATTAGAGACAAGCCTGGAGATCAGAGTGTAACATTGACAGCATATTACAATGATGAACATATTCATATTGATGTAGGAATGCCTTATCTTGGTGATGATGTCATTGATGTGTTTGGTCCTCGTAATGATGAACTAAGTTTTCCACTAGTTGTGACTGTTACCAAGAAGAACGCAGTCAGGATAGAGTTTACCTGCAACGCTTATGCTGATTATATTGACTTAACAGATTTAACCGTGCATGATTATCCCTTTCCAATGGGAGAAACTGACTGGCCTCGTTTCAAGTAAGCTTTTTGAATTTTTTTAAAAAAACTCAAAATAATTATAACTACAAGTGTAAGATTTTTTAGAGATGGGCATGATGAGAATAGACGTTTTTTTGTGTGTTTTAAATTGCCTTTTGTAGAAACTTGGACGATAATCTGAAGAAGGCGTTCCACAGGTATCTGGCGACCAGACTTGAAGCAAGCATAACGAAACTCTTGCACAAGTACATGGTGGGCAAAACAAAGCGAGAGTACTTGTTATGGTTGAAGAATGTTAAGAAGTTTGTGGATGGATGAAAGGTAATAAGTTTGGATATTGCAAAAAAGAAGTCTCTTCTTGTGTTAGTTGATAGCATTCAAATGTGTTTTTAGCAATTTTAATAAGCTTTTGAGAATATATGGTAATTCATGATTTTCAAGTTCTTATTTGAGTTTGATATTCACTTATGATTCCCAATTAATGCCAATCTAAACTTAAATCCAAAGATATAGATAAAAAGAAAAGAAAGTCATGATAAGGAGTAGATCATGATATATCAGAAAGGTGTAGGTAAAAGGTTCTTCATGGATCAACACCTAAGAAAGAGGTATTGAAGAAGAAGAGAATGCTAGTTTCGTCCACTCTGTTTATCAAACAGGCATAAATAATCTATATAAGTGTTTGTTTCTTGATTTTTTGTCCACATATGGTTAGTAACACAAATTCACCCAAAAAAATGGTTTACCTTAAGTCCTTAACAATAATAAGTCGCATTATATATTGTTCTTCTTAAATTCAATATTTTTTTACTGCCGTCTACCTAAAAAACTCAATAATATTAACTTTATTTTTAATCTGAATTTGTGATACAATTTGTTAGAAGAGAAATTTTGCGCCAACTTTTTGGGTTGATTTAGGATGTGATTTGGTTAGGGTTTTAAATTAACCAACGCTGTAAAACCCTTATATAAACCCTTAAAACCTTAAAAACCCTAAAACCTCAAAAATCTTCATAGAAGAACCAAAGAAGAGAGAATCAATCAATCACCATGGCTTTGGCTTGGTGCGTTGTACGCAGGTCAGGATCTAAGTTTGCTTCTGTGTGTGGTGGTCAAGTCCGATCTATCTCCACCGTTGTGAACCGTCCGTCTCTAGCTCTCCTCAAGCCGTCACCGCTGCGTCCCTTCGTCTCCCGTGGCTTTCATAACTCGACGGTTGTTGATGATCATCAGCTGAGCTCCGAGCAAACGCTTCTCTGCGAGATTGACTCCGAGATCAAGTCTGCTTTCCAAGTCAATGATGTCGATAGTGTAAGTTTTTGAGTCATAGCTTGTTCTTCAAGAAACAAAAATTGGTTATGCTTTGTTTTTGATGAAATCATAGAGGAGAATCGGAATTGACATGTTAGAAGTGGTGCTGATTAATTTTGTATAATAATTTAAGACAAGATATTTTTGATAATTCTTAAATCGGAATTGACATGTTAGAAGTGGTTTTGCTTTGTTTTTTTTTTTTTTTTCTGCTTAACAATCTATTAAGAGCAGGACGAAGACACGGCTCCAGAAAGCTTACCTTTCAGAATTGATGATGATGGAGGTGAGACTGTGACATTGACTAGAGACTACGAAGGGGAACATATTAAAGTTGTAGTAGGCATGCCTAGAACGTATACAACTGGTGATCCTAATCATGGAGATGATCATGAGGAATTAAAAATTCCACTTATTGTGAATGTTACCAAGAAGAGCGGACTTAGCCTCGAGTTTCGCTGCGCGGTTTCTGAAGATGATATCGACATAGATGGTGTGTTTGTGAATCATTCAGGGGATTCTTCGAAGGATCAACTGGCGAATGAAGTGTCTGATTTCAAGTAAGCTTTGTGAATAAATTAAAAAACTCTATATAAATAACTCCAAGTGTAAGGTTCTATAGATATAATGTTGTTGATTGTTTTGCTTTCATTGCGTTTTGCAGAAATGTGAATTATGATCTGGAGATGGCGTTCTACAAGTATCTGGACACCAGATTGGAAAAAAGCACACTGGATTTCTTGTATGAGTACATGACGGAAAATCGACAGTACGTGTTATGGTTGAAGGATGTTGAGAAGTTTTTGGAAGAATGAAAAAGTATGTTCGATACTTGAGAGAATCAGAAACTTTCAAATGTGTTTTAGCATTTTGCACAATGTTTTGAGAATTAATTAGTAATGACTTTCAAGTTCAGATGAGTTTGGTATTCACTTTTATTTTTTGCCCCACATATGGCTTAGTACACAAATTCACACACACAAAAAAAAAAGAATGGTTTACCTTATTCAACAACATTAATTAAGTCATATATTTTATTTTATTTTGTCATTTATTCACTTAAATATTGGCTTCTGAATTATTAACTCAATCATTTAGGAAAAAAACTAATAAACTCAATAATATTAATAAACAAGTTTTTGGATATTGCTTGCAAAGCCTTATTTACACAGCATTCAAACAAAAACTATATAGACGAAACAAGAAAGCTTAAAGCATCATGAGAGCAAACTCATCAAAGCTTAGAACTCCATCAGCATTGTTATCAAAAGCTTGAATCATAACTTTGCAATCATCAGTGGTTCTCGACTCACCTAGCTTCATCAGCATCATCTTCAAGCTTTCCGGGGTAATACAATCTTCCCCATCAGCAATATACATTCTAAAAGCTTCCATTATCTTCCTCTTCTTCTCTTCTTCAGTGAATTCATCATTGCCTTTGATAAGCTGAGCAAACTCATGAAAATCCAACATTCCATCACCGTCTATATCAGACAGTTTAACCGCAGCCTCGGCTTCTTCATCAGAGATTTGCTCTCCCAATGTGTTGAAACTCTTCTTGAGCTCCTCTGCAGAGATTCTACCGTCTCTGTTTGCATCCATGTAAGCAAACACAGCCTCTAAGTCTCTGTTCTTGTCCTCCAAGAATTTCATGAAAGATGAAGATAACTGACGTTGAGTGTTCTTCATTCTGAAAGAACAAAAAAGATTGTTTATTTTATGTTACAAGTATTGTTCTTTCTCTTGATGATTTAGGATTTGAATGAGAAATAGGTACAAAGTGTTTCTCTCTATATATATGTGCGTTTTAAGTCGAGAATAGGAATTAAAAAATAGAAATTGAAACGAATCAAACGTGTGAGATTCAGATCTAGAAATAAAAAACAAATATTTTTAGTCTTTAGATCTAGAAGAAATAGTATTATTAGTCTTCTAGATCTAGGAAAGGAAATGTTAGTATATTGGTTCGTTACTAGGTCTCATCCCCATGTTTAAAAACACGTTTTCTTCCTCTGAAGAATAAATGTGTAGAGAAGAGAGATTTTTACACAAAAGGGTTTAATAATTCCTTTGTGAGAGAAGTAATGTTTCTATTATTGGTTTGCTTGGGAGTTATTTGAAGTAACTTTTCATATGGTCTATATCCAGAAAAATCAAGCATGATATACTCAGAGTCAGTGTTCAGGAAAGCGCTAGGAGCTAAGCGGGCGGTGACCCAGTGTCTAGCGCCTAGAACGCTTAATCGGAGCCTAGGCGATTTTTTAGGCGATTTAGACGTTTATAACATAAAACATTATAAATATGATATTATATAAAAAAGTTCTATAAAATATCTATATAAAACTAAAAATTATGAAATTATAAACAAAAACTATATAAAACATTTATTTATATTTATATTAAACAATATATGAATATTTATAACTATATATATAAATAAAACTCTAATTAAAATTGAAAATATACATTAAACAAGATCTATGTAATTTTAGGCGGTCAAGACGGTTATGTAGGTGTCGCATGAAAGTCTAGCGACTAGTCGGGGTCTAGGCGACCGCCTAGACCGCTTTTTAGAACACTGCTCAGAGTCATAGATACATTACATACAATTCCTGAACTAAAGTCACAAGAATGGTTTGTTAGATGAGAATTTACAATGGAATGCCACTGGATTTAATTCTTAAGATTTGGAAAATTAAATAAAAGATATGAAAAAAAGATTTTGGCTCCAAAGATCTTGCTTAAATATGATGTTTCCTTTTTTTGTTAACGATTTTAAAGCAAGTTTTGTTATATTTCTGTTTGTTTTCTTAATTAGTTAATTTACACTAATTGTATTTGATTAATTTTTTTTTTGTTCGTAACTATGATTCATAATCAACACTAAACTTAGATTTTTAGTTGGTTTTGATTATAACTATAGTAAGCAATATCTATATATTATTACTTTATTATAATAAAAACATTACAACTATATGTTTTTTAAAGCAAACTTATAAATTGACTCGAATTGTATATGTTTTTAAATAAAAATATTATTAAAAAGAAATATAACAAAATGATGTTTAATTTCATGGGACAGGTTATATGGTGGGACGGGTTTGGGTCGATATTAATACGGGACGGTATACTACGGGTGAAATCCTAGGATTAACAATCAAATACAGTTATATAATCTTAAACACTAAATAAAATAAATAATATTAACAAAAAAATACAAGGGGCTTTTGCAAAAATGTCCCTTTTTCAATGCCACTTTTCAAAAATGCCCCTTCTTTAAAACCTTATAAAAAATGCTCTTAAAAATATAAGATTTACCCAAATATGTATGTAACATTATGAAAACATACACAAACTACATTTCTATGTATCTAAAATCTTATAAATACTTTATAAATACCTTATAAATGCATTTTAAATACCTTTAAAAACCTTTAAAATATCTTGTAAAACCTTTGAAAAACCTTAAAAATCCTTTAAAATAACTTGTAAAACCTTTAAAAACACCTTATAAAACCTTATAAATACTTGGATCGAGTCTTCAAGTAGTAGTTACAATCCATAAGTACTTTATAAACCTAATAAAACTTTATAAAAATTTCAGATTTAAAAAGGGGCATTTTTGAAAATGGACATCTAAAAGGGGCATTTTTGAAAAGGGGCACACCAAAAGGGGCATTTTTAACAATTTCCCAAAATACAACTTAAAATTTAAAAATTATTGTTATAAAAAATCGACCCGAAGTATCGCGGGGTAATATATATAATATATACATATGTACAGGGCCGGCCCAAACTATTTGAGTGCCTAAAGCAAAAAAAAATTTGGCCCATTAACAAAAGCTGTTATAAAAAAAAATACAAGTTTTAACATGTATGGGATTCGAAACCGTGACCTGTACAACAAAAGACTTCAATCTAACCACTAGACCACAGTAACATTTTAAAAATTGATGCCCCTAAAACTACTTATAATTATTTGATGCCTAAAGCCCTTGCTTCATGGGCTTTACCCATGGGCCGGCCCTGCATATGTAAGTATATTTAACCAAACAAAACAATAGGTTATATCTATAGATAATTTTCAAACTTTTGTTTAAAGTATAGCCCCACGGTGTACCGCGGGTTAAAATCTAGTTACAAACTAAAGTCACAAGAATGGTTTGTTAGATGAGAAATTTTCGCGTAGTTATTTTTGGCTTGAATTAGAATGTAATTTGGTTCGTTGTTTTGAATTAACCAACGAACCGAAGCGAAGCGAACCGGGCTGATACGGAGCTCAACTTCAATCGCTGTTAAAACCTTAAAACCCTTAAAACTCCATTTTCTTCCTTCACAGAAGAAGAGAGAATCAATCAAATCGAATCACCATGGCTTTAGCTTGGTGCGTTGTACGCAGGTCAGCATCTAAGTTTGCTTCCGTTTATGGTGGTCGAGTCCGATCTATCTCCGCCGTTGTGAACCGCGCGTCTCTAGCTCGCAACCCATCTCCGGTTCGTCCATTGGTCTCTCGCGGCTTTAATTACTCGACGGCTATTGATCGAATGAGCTCCGAGCAATCACTTATCCGAGTTATCGACTCCGAGATCAATTCTGCTTCGCAAACCGATAATATCGATTTGGTAAAGTTTTCTCATTTCTTGCTCAAAACCATAGTTTGGCCTTAAGAAGAATGAAATCAAAGAGCTTTTCAATTTTCTATTCGAAAATGAGTGTTGAAAATTTTGCTGATTATAGGTTTTACTTGTTACTGTGTTTCAGTTTCTTTATATGTTTGACCAAATGGCTTTACAAGCTTGTTGAAAAGTTCTTCAATTTATGATATTAATTCATATGCTGATGATATTCTTATGCTTAGAAGATATTTGTCTCTGTGTTTGATCAGTTGAGACTGTTTTTTTCTAATATTCTATTGGGGTTTGGTTGGGAGCAGGATGAAGAGATAACTCCAGGAAGCTTTCCTTTTAGAATTGAAGACAATCCTGGACATCAGAATGTAACATTGACTAGAGACTACAATGGGGAACATATTAAAGTTGTAGTAAGCATGCCTAGTCTTGTTTCAGATGAAAATGATGATGATGCTGATGATGATGAAGGTCCTAGTAATGAATCAAGTATTCCATTAGTTGTGACTGTTACCAAGAAGAGTGGACTCAGCTTAGAGTTTAGCTGTATGGCTTTTCCTGATGAGATTGCTATAGATGCTTTATCTGTGAAACATCCTGGGGATTCTTTGGAGGATCAAATGGCAAATGAAGGGCCTGATTTCGAGTAAGCCTTTGTCAATCAAAAACTCTATATAAATAACTGCAAGTGTGAGGTTGTATAGAGACAGGCGTGATTAGCAGAGAGATTATAATATTGTTTTGTGTTTCATCCCTTTTTGCAGAGACTTGGACGAGAATCTGAAGAAGACGTTCTACAAGTTTTTGGAGATCAGAGGAGTGAAAGCTAGCACGACGAATTTCCTGCACGAGTACATGATGAGGAAAGTGAACCGAGAGTACTTGTTATGGTTGAAGAATGTTAAGGAATTTATGGAAGAATGAATGTAAGGTCGTTAGCTAAGTACCTAAGAATGAGATTTTGAAGTCTCTTATTGTGATCATTGTTAGCACTCAAATGTAGCACAATCTTTGAGAATTTATCGTAATGAATTTCCTGTTCTGATTCAACTTGTGATTCCCGATGCCAAACGAAGCTCAAATCCAAAGATATTTATAGATAAAAGATACGAAAAGTAGTAGAATCTTGATAAAATATCAGAAAAGGTGTCGGTAGCTTACAATGACAAGAAGAGAAGCTAAGAAAATGTTCTTCATCTTACTTATGAGCAAGACCAAGTGGTAAAGTGGATCTTATTTTTGGTGCAATCCTAATCCTAAATCAAAACCACTACATAAGCGAGGGTTTCAATAATAAGTAGTAGTAATAATAATAATGATAGGATATGAGTACTAAGCAGAGAGGAAACAAAA